CACGCATAGCAACAAACTATTTCGCTTGAAATTCAATAAAATTGCAAAGTTTTCATACTAGTAGAATAAAAAAAAAACAATAAATCAAAAATAAAAAAAACCAACAACAACGCAAAAGATACGCGCAGCTTCAATTCACTTTTCGGTGCGCCAACACCCAAAACTAAAATAAAAAACCAATATTTTACTACAAAAGTCTGAAGCAGAAAGATAGACGACAACCATGCACACATAAAGATACTACTAAAAAGAACAACAACTACTACTATTACTACTACTACTACTACTAGTAGTAGTAGTCGTAGAACAGTACAACTATAGCAATACTACGTTGTTAACATAGCTTTACGTTATTATGAGTAAAGCTTACTTTGTCGACTAACTATAAACGGCGTCTGCATCCGCGCGCGCTTTTTCATTTGCAATGCAATTCGTAGAACATCATGTATCACGATTTGGTCGCAAACATAGCTATAGCGCCATAAGTCGTCATTGCTGCCGCTGCTGTCGTAGTTGTCCGTTGTCGGCTTACACGACGCTGTTAAAATTTGCACATGTTAGTTTTGAAAGGTTTTGTATGTTTTTAAAAGCTACTGCGCTGCTATTTCGCTGCTACTGCGGGGATTATACTCATGCAATAGGCAACAGCGCAGCAGCAACATATGCAGTGCACAGTATCAAATGTAAAACAATATTGTGTATAGGAGAAACGGCGTAGCGACAGACCAACCGCACTTTGACCGGCATATTTTAATTTTTCTGTGAATGGATTTTGTTTTGTATTTTCTACTCTTTTTTGTTTTTGGTTTTTTTTTTGTTTTTTGTATTTAACTTCTCACTGCAGCGAAACATTATTTTCGCGCCAAATTGTAGTAAATGTTGTTTTTGTTTTTATAGTTATTATCATTGCTGTTGCTGATGTTGTTGTTGTTGTTACCATGCTTGACGAAGTATTGGCAAAAGCTTATGGATTAATAGTGTAACCGCTGCACTGTGAGAGAGCGTGGCATGCATAAGTAAATCTTAAGTGAGCAGCACTAGGCAGAAATAAAATAAGCAATGCGCTTCTACACTATTATGTGCGCTCATTTTATACGTAGTAGACTATTGCTGGATTGTTTGCTTATTGAACATGTGAGGAGGAGTGGAAATGGGAGAGTTTTACAAATAGACAAAAAGCTGCTATGGTAGTTGATTTGTTTTTTATATTTTTTTTTTTTTTGGTATTTTTTTTGCGTTTTCAAGTTGGGTTCGTTAGCCGCAATGCGCATGTACCTGCACAAATGCAGACAATAATTTCGCATGAGATATTCACATTGCTGTTGCTGCTACTGCTACTGCTGGTGCTGGTGCTTTTCCTTTTCATAGTATTTCACTTGTGGTCTTACTAACTAGCAGTTAGCGAAGACCAAGCCGCCAAACGACGACCGACCGGCGTCATACTGACAGTCAATTCATTACCCTATACTACATACAATGTACATAGATATGTATATATATAGATGGGCGTGTATATGTACTTATAAATTCTACTTAGTCCCTACAAAGTTACATACGTACGTACGTACAATATGCTGAATGTGAGTAGCAAGTGTGGGTTACATAAAGTTAAATTGATGTAGGTTTTTATGCTTTGTAATACAAAAAAAAAATAAATAGATATTAATTTATTTTTATATAAATATAATATTTATAAAATTTAATAAAATAAATCATCATTATTAACAAATAATAAAATTTGTGTCAAACTATTTTGATTACTTTTTATTTGCATATTATTTGTATGGTTAGGCCTAGAGCAGGCAGGCTTTTGCGCTTAATTGTTGCTGACGTCATAAAATTAACTTGAACAGCTTTTTGCGTTGTAAAAAGTTAACCTTTCTCTGTTCTCTGTTTCTTTTTGTCTACTGCAATATGCCAATACAAATAAGCAGACAGAAAGACAAACAAACAGACGATGCACTTACTTATTATTTTATTTTGTTTCGGGTACAAAGTACTGTGTTTATAGGTGTAATTCTGTTGATTTCTATTCTATAGGAGTACTGCACAGTGTGGTGCAATGCACTTTATTTGCTAATACAACTACAACTACTGCTAACAAGCGATAGAGTGTGTCTTTCCTATTTCCGACTTTGTTTGCATAACTCCGTAAAGTCTTTTGTTTCCTGTGTTAAATCATACAAGTGGGATTTGATTTTGTCATCGATGTTATATAGACAAAATAAAAATTATTCACAAAAAAAAAAAATTAAAAAAAAACGGGCGCGGTCCTGGTAATAAACTACTGCAGCATATAAAATGCTCTACAAAACCTGACGAGATTGAATTTTAAGAGTAGACTCGGCTTGGCTCTATATGTTGGGAAAGGAAGACTATTTGTCTTTCCAACTTTGCCTTTTTAATACCATTTTCATTGTTTAGTGCTAGCCAATAAAGGAATATTGTTTTAAAAATTAGTTATTAAAATCTTTTTATTTGTAAAAAATCTTTTTTAAAAATTAGTTTCTAAAATCTTTTTTTTTAAATTATCTTTTTTTAAAAAAAATTTTTGTTTAAATATTTTTTAGAAAATTGTCTTAAAAAAATTTTTTTTTAAATTTCTTTTTTTAAATAGTTTTTTTTTAAATAATATATTTTTAAAAAAATTTTTTTTTTGTAATATCGCTTTCTTTAATATTTCTTTTAAAAATCATTTTTTTTATAAATTTTTCATTTAAATTCAAATAAAATGGTTTAGAAGATATCACAAAATATATTACTACCTTAAATAAATTCATTAATTTGCTTAACATGCTGTTTTACACCTAAATGTATGCTGTAGAAAATAATTTGTGTAAAAAACATGAAAGTGCAATTATAAAAGCTAATAATGTATTATATATACGATTCATAGCTTATTAGGAGTTTCTTCAGATCATCTAATAATAATCTAATAGCCTTGAGGTTCCGCTTATAATTTGGAAGACAATCAATTCTTTTATAAAAACTGTTTTTTAATTTAAGAAAAAAATTTCTTTTTATACTGCTTTGTTTAAATGTTTTAACTCTTACTACTATATTAATATTCATTCCATAATCCACAAAAAATTGTCGCCTAAAAACTCACTCAGAAAGCGTAGGAGATACTTACTCCCACTGCCTACACATAAATAAGGTGTTTTATTCGGAAGCTAGCATTAGCCTTCAAAAATGCGTATTAGAAACTAAAGTTCAACATAAAAGTTGCCAGACATCCTTGACAGATGCAGAAATCAAATAAAAACAAAAATGAAAAAAAAAACTGAAATAAGGGTGTTGTCTACTGTATTCAAACAACAGAAAAGGATAATGTATAAGAATCTAGTGGAAAAAAAAATGTTCAATCCACAGTAAGAGTGCATGTAGTAAGTTTATAAAAATCCATTCTACAGCATCACATCACACAGAAGAGAAAAAAATGGTACAAAAAACTTCTTTCTACACTCATGAGAAAAAAAAACTGCGCAAGTCTGGCAACTTCTGCACAAATCATATATATATACCCTACTGAAGCTACTCCTAAATGCCTAAAAAGGCAAAATTTCTTTGTAAGCTCAATAGCAGCGCACAAGTTAAACGGATTTGGGAAAGGATACGATAACAACGAGTGAGCATGTAGAAATAATGACGCCATGGTGCTAAAGAAAATTTACGCTCGTACAGATAAATACTCCAACTATATGAACTTGGAGAGGCACGTAGCAGTAACAGCAGCAGCAGTAGTACCGACCTTTCTGAGCTTAACGTTGTCGTATGAGTAACAAAAAGCCGGCAAATGCCGCTACCGCAAAACTTTTACAACAAATACTCGCGTACAAGTTTACTATATATGCGATTGAGGTAGTCAGTCAGTTTGAGGTCGGTGGGTGGTTAGCTCTAAGCGTTTGCAGCCCGAATGGGCGCCTATGCCATACGTCGTCGTCGTATTGGCATTGCGCGTGAATATTTTGTATTGATTTTTTTTGTTTGCTGACTTTAGTAGGTGGCAACTACACACAGCTAAGCTTAGTATTTGCGGCACCACTATCACTATCATTATTGCTGTCACATGTTCTGTAACAATCCTCTAGTGGGCGTCGAGTAAAGTGGGTGATGACTTGCAGTTGTTATTAATGCTTTGTTAACTGTAACTTACTGTTCCGCACTTCAGGTTAAAATATGTTAATACTTTTTAAAGAAATGAGTTCAAAAAACTTTAATGGTTAATAACAAGTAACATTACTATGATTATCACACACTTGAGAGTAGTCAGTTAGTTAGCGAATTGTGTTGGCTATAAGGTATATGAGTGAAGAATTGAAAAAAACTAATTAAGAGGTAAAAGCAATTGAATAACTAAATCGGCAATAGGCTTCAGTATGCGATATTTGAATCTGAACAGTATACAATAGAGCAGAGCAGCTCTCACTATAGAAAGCGCGCTAAATTTAAATTTATGCCTCCTCATGCCGACTCTGCATATGACTCTACTCTTGCTGTCGCTGTTGTTGTGGTTGTCGGGCTTATAGAATGTATCTGTATCTTTTTATATACATAAAAAAATATGCGCCACTTTTGTTTTTGTGTTGCAAGTTCTATACGAATAAATGAATTTCACAATAAACTGAAATTGCTTGCTGCTACTCTGCTGCTGCCATTGCTGACGAAAGCACTACAATGACGCTGCTATAATTTTTTTGTTGTTGTTTTGTTACTATTCAAAATATATATAATCTATTCGTAACCAAAAAAAAATACACACAAAAAGCATATACAAAGGTAAGTTAAATACGTATATTCATTCAGCTGTATAAAATACTATTTAGCACTTTACCCCTAGGGGCAAGGCAGGGCAGCAAATATGAATACTTAATGTGGTACACGTTGCTTTAATTAAATAAAGCTTTTATTCTTTTAATTAAATTCAACACACAAAAGAAAAAAATATATATATGATATATTATTTATATATAAAAAAAAGGTAAACTGATATTACTTACCAGAATCTGAAGGTGTTTCTAGGCTTGGTCCAACATCGTCCATACCATCTTTGCAGCGTGTGTAACTGTGATCACTATGCAGATATGATTGATGATGAATGCTGCCGTTGATTGAACCCTGACTCGATGTAGGTGATGTTATGGCATATGAGAGATCGGCATCCATAACAGAAGAACCCGAATCATAGCTTGAATTACCAGATATGGATTCGGTATCAGAATCTACATCTGCATTATGCACTCGAAGCACTGATGATGTTGCGGGTTTTGTTTGGGACTTGTACGATTTTGTTTGGTAATCTTTGGATATAACATCGAGCACCTCTGCTAATGATGCATCACAAGTACTGCCAAAGCCAATATCGATTTGGTTTTTACTTGTGTCCTGCAGTGCTTGGCTGACATGTTGTATGTAGTGTGTGGGATCAACCGGTAGCGATATATTATTGCTACCCATAACGCAGGCACGCAAGTCAACATTATGATTAAACTCTATACAATCATCATCTAAACTGTGTGGTGTATCTGGGCGAACATATGAGGAGGACGTGATTTTGTTGCTGCTACCATTATTGTTGTTGCTATTGCTGTTGTTAGTAACTTTTGTCATTGTTGGATTGTTGCTTGTAGCTGTTGTCATTGGACTTTGATCGCGTAAACGTATAAAGCCAGCTGTATGCAATTTTGGTATCTGTATCAAATTGTTGTTGCCAGTTTGTTTTTGTTTTTGTTGTTGCTGTTGGTGTTGATGTTGCTGTTGTGCCTTTTTCAATTGTTGCTGCTGTATAACATTTGATTTACGCAATAGCGATGTACCTGGCGGTATATGTTGCATACTCTGTTGTGTTTGTTTTTGTGTAGTTTGTTGTGCAGTTCTGCTATTTGGTATGCTGTGCTGTTGCAATTGTTGCTCATAGTCATCAACTGGTTCCATTTTAATTTCCTTTTTAACATTCAATGATAACATTTGTAATTGTTGTGCTTGTTGCTGCAACATTCTATTACTAATATTCTTAGCAACAATTATTGTAGGCGTAGATTGTTGTTGTTTGCTTTGATTTGTTGTTTCTTGCTTAATATTTGTTAAATTTGCATTGAAACTGCTAACAGCTGCTAGCGGTACAGCCGTTTGTGCAACACCATCACTCATTGTGGATGAGGCTGATGTACTTAGAAAAGCATCTGACCACATACAATTTATATTACGTATTTCTGGTTTTATATCTTCCATTTCGAAATTATCACCACCAATTAGTGCACCGTTACTGCAATCTGATGCATTGTCTGATTCTGTTTTCATTTTCTCAATGTCACTCTGTATGGTTGATGGCCAGTTCAAGTCCTCAAAAAGATCGGTATCTGGTTTAAGGTTACCAAAATCGAAGCAATCATCGAATGAACCTGAAGGCATGTGATCGAAAAGGAATGAATTACTGCATGGCGAGGAGCCATATATATTACACAATGTAGCCATTTTTGTGTTATTTAATGTCGTCGTTGATATCTCAGTTGAAATTTGAACAATTTTTTGTTATTGTTTTTGTTTATCACAATATTGACTTCAGTGTTGAAGACTGAGTTGTGTTTTTTTTTTGAACTATAAATTCTAAATCACTGCTTGCCGAAGAAGCTGCAAGTAAGCAAAGAAATAAAAAGTGCATCTATTAAAATGTTCATTATTATTGAGTTTTTTTTTTTGACATTAATACTATAAATTTCTTTAAGTAAATATATTTTTTATGGCATTAAATTGTTTAAATTAGTATATAAAATGGTATACATGTGAGGCACGGAAAGGGAGACCTATGATGTTAGAGAGAATCTTCTCCATTAAAATAAATAATATTAATTTTTAAAATTTAACTTTCAATAAATTTAACACATTTGTTTCTTTTTCTTTGTCACTTTAACAACCTCATATAAAATTGTTTTTTAAATATTTCATATTTGTTTCATAAGGCAAATATTTATATATTAAAGCAACTTTACTAACTTTTTATTTTATTTTTAATAGACCTAATAGGCAAAATTAGACAATGAATGTCCATACTTTTTTTAGAGCTATTTACTTTCTTGAAAAATCTCTTGCATTGGCTAGTGAATGTTAGCCAATGAAAGGACGTACTGCCATTATTAATTTTTATTTTCTTAAATCAATCAAAAATCTATTGCATTTATTACTTAGTTCTTATTTAACTAAAATATATTACTATTATTAATTGGTTAATATATTATTAATTGTATTACATTTTTTTTCTTTTTTCTATCACTGTAGCTATATCAAGTACTGCATACTAATAATTAATACGTATGTATTAAAAAAATATTTTAATATGCGATGTTTTTAAATTGACCAAAAGTATTTTCCAGAACATTTTTCTATTAGTAACACATTTTTATTAATTAGGCTAATGTATGCTTGATTAATTTACACTAATATATAATAATTTTTATATATTTATTCAACAATTTTATTTTATTTATATAAATTTTTTTTTTATTGTGTTAGATATTGATAGAGAATCATACCGTCTATTGTCTTCGAATCGAATTGCCTACGAAATAAGTACAGGTAAGTATATTTTTATATAGATATTGTTATTATAATTATATATATTGTATTTTAAGAATTAAATTTTAAGCAATTTAAATGATAATCATTATATTTCTAATATTAATGCACATTCATTTTCTATTATTGTTTTGTATGCAATTTACATTTGAAATGCAAACACATCACGTTGTTTCTATTATTGGACTAAAAATAAAATAAAAGAAAATCCCCGTGATCTGTTGCATCACGTACAGCAAATATAAAAATAAAAATACTTTTAGCGATAAGGTAGGTAGATAGATAGATAGATACTCGTAGATAGTTAAATAGATAAGGCACCGCGCGCAATGGCATACACAATTCATGTATAGAGTTAAAAAGATAAAAAATAAAATTTTTTCTTTTATAGCATTTAAAGAAAAATTAATAGTTAATTGAAAAAAAAAAATGTAAAGAAAAATAAGAGTGAAAAATAAAACAAAATTAAATGAAACCAATGAGAGGAAATTAAAAGAATTGTTAGTTAAGCAGTTGAGGAAAAAAAAAGTATTTTTACTATAAAAAAGTAAACATTGCACTATAAAATTAAAGTACACTGTGTCAAATAAACTATTAGTTATTATATAAATAGTTATTTTAGATTGGCAGGAAAAAAATTAATAACGGTGGAAATTATAAAAAAATAAAACTCAATTATATTTAAGTACATTTTTTTTCATATGTATTATATTAACTTTTTTTTTTGTAACATTACAACTAAATTATCGATAATTTATTTTAGATAAGTTTTCAAAAAAAAAAAAAAATAATTGGCAGTGTATTTATTATTTATATTTGCGTTCTACTTTAGTTTTTGTGTTACAATTTTCTTTTTTGGTATATTACTTTTTTTTGTATATTATTTTTTTTTTGTTTATTTTTTATTTTTTTTTACAAACAAATAATAAAATTGCATTTTTTTTTATGAATGAACTGCATATGTTGTGGTATATATGTTTAAATATATTGTACACATATAGACAACAATCAACAAAATATCTAGAGCAATTGGCAGTTTGAGGTTGGCTTTTCAATGAGATATGAAAAATGTTTTCATTTTACTAATAAATGAAACAAAAAAAAAATACAAAAAAATATTAGAATGCAGTATAATTTAAAATGTTAACTGAAAATGTTGAAAGACATTTATATTTTTAAATGTAATTAACAGAAACAATATGCAATTGTATAAGCAAAAGTGAAGATATTTACTTTAATTTATAGCTTAAGTAGCTATAACCAACAAAACAGATTTAATAATTACTAATACTTTATCAATGAAACACAATTTCTAGTTAAAATACAATAATTAATCTACAGAAACAGTTGTTGGTAATAAAATACTATAAATAATATTATACAACATATATAAAGAAAAGTATTTTCAATACTAGTACATTTTAATAGTATTAAAAAAAATTTGTTAAAACATATTAAATATTTATTTTGAATTTTAAAATGCACACAAATCAAAATAATATTATTAATAATTAATTATGATTTTTCTCAATAATTTTTAATGATTATTAAAAATTTGCTATAATAAATAATATTTTATTTTTGCTCATTTAATTAATTGTTCTTTTATTATAAAAAAAAGAGATAATTTATAATTTTTTTTTAAACTTTATGACTATATATATAGTATATGTAAAAACACCTACAATAAATGATATAATAAAATTTTTTTCAAACGCATTATAAAAACGCCCACGTTCCTAATTCAGCAGCGATAGATACTACGTTTTGCTACGAGAGTACTAAAATGCTCAATAGGAAGCTTTCATTTTCGTTTGAGGAAAAATTTTTGTATCTGTATCTACATATAAATTTTATTTTATTTCATTATTTTTTTTTCTTTTTTCCATAATACATTTTTGTACACAACACCCCACACACAGAGACGCAACAGTTACTAACTAAAAAGATACATACAACGTGTGACAACAATGTCTGTCTAGAGTTGAGATAAGTATTAATAAAATTTTGCAAAAAAAAAATAATAATAAATAAATGATATACAGTAATAAAAAGATACACATATAAACTGTTAACTCAATTTGGCTTAAAAATAGTTAACGACTTTATCGCTTCGATACAATAAAGAGACACCCCCTACATTTCACTATTTCATATGAATAATCGGTGAGTGAATAGTTGGTAATTTTTATAGCAAATCTCTATGAGTAAATAACTATTTCTTCCGAAAAATATAATACGTATAATGTAAAACAAAGATTGATTTCTCAGAATTTACAGTTTAAATATAAACAGTTTATATCACATTACATTGCACAATTCCACGACTATTAGTCACTATTGCAATGCATGCATGCAATTTTCATGACAAATTCAGCTGCGTCCGCATTTGGCGCCAAAAATATTTGCAAATAGCAAATCACTATATTATAGGTTTAACATTGATAGAACTTTCCCTTTTCCTCACTCTTAATATGAATTTTTCCTATTATCACAATGTGGGGAAATATAGGATTAAGATTATAATTTTTTATCTTTTTTTTATAAATTTTTTCTCTCTCCTATCTTAAATATTTTTTTACTATCTATTATACTATAATACTACTTTAATAGTCATATAAAATAAGAGGTGTTTTTTTTATTTGTTAAAACTTTTTTGCACCCAAGATAAACAAAAATATAGGTTTGTGTATAAATTGTGCATTACTGACGTCAAGATATATTATAAGCACATCTAACTGGTATCTCAGAACATTCTACAGATTTTATTTTAGAAAGTGCAAACAGATGCAAGAAATTCTATTTAATATTCTGTGTGGGAGAGAGACTTGTACATATCTAAGAATTTAATAAAAATGATTCATGACTTATCTTCTGATGACATAGTTAGTGGGTGGAGTATGAAAGACAATATACAGTAAATAAATATTCATATTTCATAAATATTCATATTACTACACATACCAACTAAAGAGTAGTAAGGGCCTTGTTGTCGTAATTAAAGGTATCGAATCAGATGTAGAACCCATTGAGATAACAAATGCCCTAAGCGAAAAAGGCTTTAGCGCTAGAGCAGTAATAAATATTGTTAACAAAGACAAAATCCCACAACCTATGTTCAAAGTTGAACTTCACCCGGAAGCTTCTAAGCTTAAAAAAAATGAGAGCCATCCCATCTACAACCTACAGTATTTACTTCACCGCAGAATTAGCGTTGAGGAGCCCCACAAAAGAAATGGTCCGGTGCAATGCACAAACTGCCAAGAGTATGGCCACACTAAGTCATATTGCACTCTTCGTACAGTGTGCGTAGCTTGTGGCGAGCTTCACCATAGTTCCGAATGCGATAAAAAAGCATTAAAGGATACCAACTCCAAAAAATGTAGCAACTGCAGTGGAAATCACACTGCAAACTACAGAGGCTGTCCTATTTATAAAGAACTAAAGCACAGGTTAGCTCTGCAGAAAGAAGCGTTGCGTAATCCTACAAGAAGCAACACCATTAAATTAGTTGAAGTACCTCAACCTTTAACTTCTAAGCCTGTTACACCAGGTGTTTCATATGCTAATGTCCTTAAATCGACAAGCAACAAGCCCCTCCAGTTCACTCTCGCTCAGAGCTTAACTCAGTTCATGTCAATCATGCAAACTACTCTTAACGAGATAGTTAAAATGCAAAGCCAATTAATGCAAATGTTTTTGTCTAAATAACGAGTACTTTAAAAATTTGTACATGGAATGCAAACGACTTAAGCCAACATAAACTTGAACTCACAAATTTCATGTCTCGAGAAAGTGTGCATGTAATGCTTTGCTCAGAAACACATCTAACTAACAAAAATTTCTTTTCTATTCCTAGTTATTTATTCTATAAAACCAATCACCCAGATGGCAAAGCACATAGTGGTACAGGTATTTTGATACGAAGGCGTCTAAAACACAATTTTCTAGGTACATATGCTCATAATTATATGCAAGCCACATCAATATGCCTTAAGCACACAGGAAAAAATTCAACTTTATCGACAGTTTACTGCCCTCCTCGCTTCAACATTACT